AAGGATGGGAAATTCTGTCCAAGACGTGTGGCGTCCACCGAAGGACAGGCTCATGATGATTCAGCAATGCAATGCAGTTAATGTGACTTTGAACTCCTATAGCGCACACCCACGTCTTACTGTATCTCGAGATGGGAAGACACTGAGCTTTAGAGAGAGTGAGCAATGGTTCCCTGTTTTGCGATGGCAATTTAAAAACTATTGTGCTGTATTGGCAAATGAAGGTTTTAATTCAGGAAAGTTCTACTATGAAGTAGTAGTCACCAGCAGTCAACACTTGATCTTGGGAGTAGTTAAAGAATCATTTAACAGAGAAGTCTTGTTTCCACTAACACCTGAGCATGGGGCCTGGGTATGGTTTGGGTCATTGTTTCAAGTGAACATAGAAAAAATTGGTGTTTTCGTAGATTACGAGAAGGGAGAAGTTTCCTTCTATGACACCAATTCCAGGACCCTGTTACACTCCTTAACAGAATGCTGCTTTACGGAGACAAAGACAGGAGTGCAAGGTTTGCTTTACTCTGTTATAGGACTTTCACCGGTATACAGACCAAAGATCTACCCCTTCTTTTTTTTCAGGGGCTTTTATTTACTTGATAGTCTTACTATCACTCCTGTCGAATGCACATGCTAATATAATATTAAGATACCTGAGAAAAGAATGATCTAATGCAAAAAAATGTATATCAACTTGATAAATAATCATTGTTAATGTTAATGTTTATTATAAATTCCCAGAGAACTAATATAACAAGCCAATCATGTAAACTTTTTTCGATATATGTTCCTCAAATTGTCTCTAGAGCCTTCATATATATCTATATATATCTATCTATATATATAGGTATATATAGGTGATTTTCAAATGAAATAACATGTTAAAGCAAAGGGAATAATCAGGTTATACATTTAACCATCATTAGAAAGTTGATTTAGAGTTTCTGTGTGGCTTAACAGCTATGACATAGCTTATTATTTTTTTGGTTTGTACAAAACTTTGATCATTTTGACTATTTGCAAAAACTTATGCTACGTTCACACCGGACGCAGAAGGCGCAGCAAAATCGCGTCTGCTGCTTCATTTTTGCTGCTTGTACCAGTTAGTTCTGACGTGCGGCTGAAGCAGCTTTGCTGCTCTGGCTGCGCGGTGCAAAAGTGTGTCTGCTGCGCGTTGGGCTGAGCTTCACTATCCTTTCTCTGCCTTGCAGCTATATTTTCTGTGATCAGTGGGAATAAAGTAGTTTTAATATGTTTTTAAGTGAGAAAGTCCACCTGAAAACTTAATCATTGTAGTCAGTTCATTCAGATTATCATCCTGCCTTCCAATATTATTTCTGTCGGAGCCGCTCAGACCCCCACATACC